AAAACTAAGTCGGTGATCTACCATGTTTATTTCTTTGTTGGAAAGCTCCCGAAATTCTTCAACTTCTTAGACAGCATGACAAAAAGTTACCTAGCAGATTTTAAGATGCAGCGAAAAAAGGCATTTTATGGCTTACAGAAAATTGTACTAGACAGCTTTCCCGAAACGTTTCTGTTCGAAATGCCATCATGAATGATGCGTGCAAACCAAGAAATAAGATAGGTCCCCGGACAAAATACAAATGTTTTCCGCAGGTTTTATTTCTGGTTCAAAAAATCCACATTTTTTGTTTATCCTCCTGAGCGAGGTGAAATAGGCCAGTCCTTGCCAAGATTAGCTCGTTTTCACTTAGGACCTCTTTAGACAGGTGGCAACTTATCAGATGATGTTTTACTTCATCATTGCATCCAGACAGCCGTACCAAACCACTTAAGCCACTCGATAAACCACAGTTTTTTTCCAACTCTGCTATTCAAAATGCAGTCCTGCATGAGACATAATAAACGTCTCGCTGAAACGAACGAACGACTTCTTATTGTTCTTGTTATTGTTTCCAACGCGGTACAAGTTCGAGAGAAGTAAATGAACTCACTGTAACTTTGTATACTCGATACGATTTCACTTTCCGCACCCCAGAGAAGCCTACTGTATTTCGTGAGTGGTCAGTGGTTACGCTCGTGAGGTAAAGAATGGGTTTGTGACTATTTCACTCAATTTAAAACACTCGCGTCTCTCTTATGAAATGGTTGAACAGAATACTGACTGCGAGCACTCTCCTATTTTTCTTAAACATAGTGAGGTCACGCGTATCCTGTGAGCATGGAGAAGCCGCGAGACGCGAGACTCGTGTCTCGCGTCTTTGCCGCTCCACGCTCTCGGGGTTGGGCAAAGACAAGACACGTTACTACTGATGCAATACAGGTGGTTTAATGGTTATCTCGATTTTCTAAAGCCATTTATTTACATGGTAAAGATTTGCTTATAAATCTATGAATTGATGACAGCCCTTTATGGAACGAAATGTATTTGAAAGAAAAAAAAAAGAATACTAAGCATAAAAAAAAAGTTGTCTGCAAGACAAAGCATGCCTTCGCATTAAGACTGAGCTGCAGATTCACGGATTGTCTGATTGCCGGCTAAGGGAGTCTTGATGGCATGACATGCAGTCCGTTGTTTGCCTCAATTCGTCTTGACAGTAGGGAGTCGTCTGGGATTTAGCTTAGTTCTGGTATTATAATCATGTTGTTCTTGCTGTCTTATGAAGTTCATATCATACAGAAGAAGTCCATTTAAACTCTTATACGCATAAATACATCTTCTCTGGAAACGCCTTTTTTCTAATGGAACCCACTTGAGAGTGGCAAGCGCATGCGTAGCAGATGAATAAAGAGGCCAGTCTAAAATTGTTTTAGCAGCCGTATTCTGCAAGATTTGCAAACTGCTCATTAAGGTTACATTATGCTTGTCTCCCCAAACAAGGTCTGCATAATCAAATAAAGGCATGACAAGACTATTATAAAAAAGAAGTGCACTAAAAGGTATTATTATCACTCAAAATATTTCCCCAATTCTGATTGGCTAAAAGCACACGCATAATTCTCCATAACCAGTTACTGATGACCAAGTTTGGAATAATTTTGTGTTTAACGAGGAAATGACGTCAAAAATGCAGCCCTCTACAGGTTCAATGCACCGTTAACTGAGAAGACCTGGGGACGAGGATGAGTTGTTTTCGTTGCGAAAACTAAAATGGCGGACACTTCAATCGTTTCAAGAGTAAGAACTACAGCTAGAACTAGGCGAAATAATGGCTAAAAACAGCAAGAAGACAACTCGGACTGCGACATCTGCTATTTGGAGAATATTTACGGAGATGGACAAATCTAAACGTACACTATCGAAGATAAACTCAACATCGATGCAGGTAAGCATGTTTTAGCTATGTTTTTAAACTAGGAATTATTTTGAATGAATAATAAAGCAATTAATGAATTCGGCTTTCGAAGGATATGAAGAATCAAGCAGATCTCGGTTGCTTACCAATAGGCGCTAAAAGCTGTTCATTGCTGAAGCATAGATTTAGGTGTAGTGTGCTGAATTCCATCAGAAATAATGCACTGAGCACTTTCTGAAGGGGAGTTGCGATAACAAACTTCATTGACCGCATTCCAAACTTTTGTCGCATTCCCTTTGGCATCCTGAAACAAGTCACAGTAATACTTAGTCTTGGAAGATTTACCTAAGCAGTTGACCTTGTTTCTCAGTTTTCTATAGGTGTCCCAGTATTGAGAGGAGTTTGAGCTTTTCGATGAATCCAGTCTCGTTCTTTCATTGTTTCGCTGATTTTATTATTCATCCAAGCAATTTGTGTCCCTTTAACACGCCGCCTTTTGACAGGTGCGTGAGAATCTGAAATCTCAGAAAACAATTTATTCCAGGTTAACAGGGCGTCATCTATATTGCTTTCGTTCTCAACAAAGTGCCACGGAACATTCCTAAGTTCATCGTTAAATAAATTAGCATCAAAATTCTTGTAAGAGCGATACTCAAATAATCTCGGTTGGGCCTTAATGAAAACACCAGCTTTCAAAATGCAAAACAGAATAACCAGAATAACACCAGATTTAACAATACGATGATCATTAATCAATCAGTGTCCTAGTGGTGCCAGTTATTCGAGTGGGCTCTTTTATTAACTGAGTCAAGTCAAAAGCGCGCGTAAAATTGAGTAGTTCTTGTTTATGTTTTTTCGGCAATTTCGAATTGGACATCATATTTGCTTTAAGGTTAAAAAACTAAATACACCTAAATGGTTTTCAATTCGTATGTCTTACCGTTTATATTGTATCAAAGCCTTAACAATAATACATTGATTACTTTTAAGTTGTTTTAGCAAAATAGACTCCTTTACCTAAGAATTTTTGTCTAAAAAACACATTTTGTTGATAACTTTTGTGTTTTTTTTTTATACTAAAATCCCATCAAATCTACACTGATGACCAGCAAAGGAATAACCTGTCACTGTGATACTGTGGATATGGAAAAAGTGAAAACATGTATTAATAACTGCTTTAAAAAAATCAGTATTGGCATTTCGGGTAACTCCTTGGAAAAGTGATCAAAAGGAGCTTCACACAGCATTATGTCTCTGAGTCTCTTGACTCAAGTACCTTGGCAGGCGGACTGTTCAGGCTTTTATTGGCTGTATGTGTTTTGAGTGTAGCTACGTAGATTTTTAAATCTTAGTGGATAGTATTGTCTAGTTACATGCTACTTCTTCATAAAGTAGGACCGGGAGCTCCAAACCATTTACCACTGTATGCATAATTAACAGTCTTACTTCCATCCTAGCTTCTTTGCCTTATTGGCAGCCTGTAAGCTTAGTTGCCTGGCTTTCCAGGTGTAAGCTTTTGGCATTTGCAAACCTTTCTGCACTGCAATGCACCCCTTTCATTTTGCTTACTTTTTTTTCTCATGTATGGATCCCATGCACAGCTTGAATACTCTTAACTAAATAACAACAAATATATTCACCCTATAATGTAGCTTCTTTAATTTGACCAAGAGTGGATAATGAGACCCGGCAAGGGGGGAGGTGCTTACTTGACGCATTATTTTTGGATTTAGTCTTTGTTTTACATAGTAAAATAATTTTTTGCATCAAAAATTTCAGTGGGCTCATGATCCTTTTTGGTTCCTTGCAGATGACTTCCTTATGGAACGAAATCGAGATAAAGCGTGAGACGTTTTAAGACATTTATAATTGCTGAAGATTTAGATCTTTTAAGTATACTGCTTTTGATATTAATTACTTTGACCACTGTCTATCAATTTCCCAAAATTCTATAGTTCACGAAAGTCATGAAGTTTAGCCAAATCAAAATAATAAGCAGGTTAGAGTATTCTTAATAAAATCTAGCTTAATATACTCTTCAATTAGTGGATCAGCTTTTGCATTCAGTGTAGTTATATGCAGTAAACCGAACAGAAAAATAACGCATAAGAAAGTAATGGGCAGAAATTTTGGTGACAGGGAAGCAGTTAAATGACCATAAGAGAAGCCCTCCTGGGGGGAGGGCAAGATAGAGTATGGTGCCGGGGGTTAGGGTTAGGGTTAGGGTTAGGGTTAGGGTTAGGGTTAGGGTTAGGATTAGTCCGGTTACCCCGCTCGGTGTCCAGGGGATGAGGCTCATATAGGGCTTTCCACAATATGAGTAGTATAGTATATGGGGGTACCAGTGCATGTTCTGGAAAATAATATTACGTATATATGAGGACACTGTCCTCCTTTCTTTTGTGGTCCTTCCTATTTTGTATGTTGATTAGTGTCTTTATTGGGATTGCTCAATTGAGTTTAGTTATTTAATTCATATTTATTTATCAATTGTCCTAGCTGGTGCTTGTTGATTACTCGTATTTGGTGTAAATCCATCGTAATAGATTTGAATTCATATTTATCTTCAGCTGTCCAATCACCCAATGTTAATTCCTCTATTCGTTTTAATTTTTCTTTATCCTCAGAGCTACTTTTACTCTTTACAATTTCATGGTCACTTTTAGATACAATATATGATTGATTGCTGTTAGACTTTCTGGTGTTGTAATTTCCACGGCATATATCTTTTATACCCTATCTCTGTAAACTTGCAGTTGGTACAGTTCCTTATTGATACTCTTTGGCTTTATTATGTCTCTACTCGATCTGGATCCATTTAGTTTGCATTTCATTATTTGCAAGTTTTTGATTAACCTAGATAGTCTCACTTTGTTTTCCTGGCAGTATTTATAACCAGGATTTGGTTCTAATTGTTATTTTTTAGTTATGTTCATCTTATTATTAGTTTAGTTAATTTTACTTTCTGGTTAATATTAGTTAGGCTTTCCCGTGTTTTGCACGGTTTAAATATGAGAAGGTACCACCTTAACTCCAAATACTATCATACTTGTTATGGCGCTAATTAAAGACACAAAAATATGATTCCGGACCTGACCTAGTATTACTATATCCACGAATTGATTCTTTTTTCTGGTGTATCTTGGTTTTCACCTAATCCAGCAATCATGATTGAATTCGGATAAAAACGCCTGATACATTTAACAAGTTTGCAGGGCAGATCATTTCCATTTCCTATTTTGAACATATTATTGTTTGGATTATCAAATAGTTTGTTTTGCAAATATTTTCTGATTGAGGGGAGTACAACAGATGTTACCCAATGTTTGAATTTTTTAGCTGATTCAAGTTTTGAGGATAAAATGAGGAAGTAAAAACCAGACTCATTTATGAATACTGGAGGTCTTCCCCTGCTTTTGGAATAACCCGCCGTTTTGGCCGGAAAAGATTTTTTATCTCAGGATCAATATTTTTTCTTAAAGTTTGATCTGTGTTACTGTAACCAAGAATTTGAGCAATATATTTTCCCTTGAACCGGATATTCTGCTTGTTATCAATATATGAAGTCAGCTCAATTTACAACTCATTATTATTGTTTTTTTTTTTCTCATAATGATTGATTTGTTGATTCTTTGCGCAACCAGACATAATTCAATGTGTGGTAGTAAACATTTTTTTCTGCTAAGGCTGAATGCCGAATACAAGAATACAAGAAAAGCTGTCCAGAAAAAACGGCTGGCCAGATTCAGAGCTACCCCCTCAAAATTAGCGATCACGTTAGATACCACATTTATATATTTCTATTTAAAAATAATATATAGATTTAGCCAGGGCTAAAAGCGAGGCTCCCATTAATAAATTTATAATTAAAATTAAACAATAAACTTGTATTCGAACTCCACAATTCAGTTAACTTTAGAGCACATTTATGTGACTTTTGAGGGAAAGGCTACCTGATTTTAGAGAAAAATAATTTGCAAACAGCCCAAGAGTGAACCAAATCTTACATCGAGTTGATAGCCTCATATGTACACCCAAAAACTGGTAATCATCTTCGATCACATTTAAGAGCCATAATGGCTCTTGATCACCGTAGATTAATTAGTGGAAAAAAAAATCAGGCCAACTTTTTTGCGTTCGACAAGTTTACTTTGCAAAATCTTGTCAACAAATCTGGGTGCGTGTAAACCAACCTTTTATACCATTTATACATCACATCTGAGGTGAAACAGTAGTATGAGGCACTGTTTTTATCATACCGGCAGACCTCGGACAGAAAGCAGTATTTCACAATACAAATTGCACTCATTCAATATTCATAAACTGTTAAAAAAATTTCCAAAATCACCTATACGGCCATCCGGTTCTCACTTTTGTAGTGCGAGCTGTGGCGAGTGTTTGAATGAACATTAACAGAGTTACGCTCCAACATTATAAAGAATTTATTCTGTTTATTTTTTATTTAATGGTTTATTAACGCGCGGCATTTTGAGTACTCCTGCAAGCGATGTTCACTGAACGACTGAAAACAATCGGCACAGCGATTAAAATTACAAGAGAGACTACTAACAATCAATAAAAGAAATATAATTCGGTGAAACATATACAGAAACAACAATTTTCATTCAGGAAGACAAGTATTAAAGTATCCCTAAAAATCCTGAGTCTTCAAGCTTCAAGCTTAAGTTTATGTTTTAAGCCGGCTTCCCGGTGTTTGCTTTTTTCAAAGACGAACTCGAGGCAAGAAAATCGCTCAAAGCTTTCTTTTCCGGCCAGAATTATAACTAAATATTCTTTGGAACGTTTTCTTTCTATTTGCGGTGAGAAACTGTCTAAAGGCTTTTTAAAGTTCTGTAAGCTTATATCAAACCTGATACTCGGTCAGATCATTGTCTCAAATCTTACAAACGTGCATAAACTAAATGACCGCATAAACTCCGCTCGACTTCATTAAATTAGATCCAAAAAAACAAACATCAAATACAATAATTTCTCTGGCTTACCATTCGAGATGCAGCTCCTGAAAGGTATCAAGAAAAGCCAGTATCGCTTCAGACTTTGCAATCCTCTTACGCATCAAGCAAGGTGAAAACGAAAACGATGCCATCCGAAATCGGATTTCCGACTTTGACAAGCGACGTATTCCTCAACCAAAAACCCAATAAACAAACTAGCCATGAATAACAGAGGACTCCTGATAGCAGCTGAATTTCATTTTGCACATCCAGTGGAAAAAGACAGTTAAAAACATCACAAGTTGACACAAAACTCTGTCAGCTTCAGCTGTCAAAGTAAACAAGATTCAAGATGCTGCATAAATTTTCCGCATGAACTCACCTGTCAAATTTTGACCAATCAGAGCATAAAAATTGGACGTAGAGCGTGACCAACGCGTGACCATGGTGAGAAAAGTCAAAAGCAACTGTCTTCCCTGCCTGTAACAGCTGGCTGAATTTTCGCGTCCGAGGTCAGTTTGCAATCAAAATTTTAATTGTGTAGCACATAAACACAACATATTTCATATGAATTTAGAAAAAACTTGAACTTGAGCCTGCGATCACTTGAAAACTAGTAACTTGTCAGCGGATAACTTCAAAAAAATACTTGACCTCGATGGGTCGACACCTGAGCCCGCGATACGGTCAAGTGATACTGGTCAGCGGGTACCCTGTTTTGACAGCTGTCAATTGATCAAAACATTAATGTCCAATATGTGTGCATTATCAGTTTAACTAGTAAAAGTATGAGATTGAACATTGTTCGCGATCTAGTAAAACAATTAACTGGTCAGCGGACAGCTTCCAAATAAATCACGTCACCTCGATGAGTTGACACATGAGCCCGCGATATGGTCATGGGATACTGGTCAGTGGCTATCCTGTTTTGACAGCTGTCAATTGACCATATTGTGAATGTCCTAAAATCCTATATTAAAGATGTGGACTTGCCAAGACACGCCTGAGACACCCCTCCCTTCCTTTTGATAGTCTCCCCTACCCCACCCGTACAATCTGTAGACGCGTACGTACGTATGTACGTACGTACGTACGTACGTACGCTCGGTCAATCACGTGACAACCAAACGAAAAGAGGTTGACCATATTCCATGAGTATGGGGCTCTGTCCCGCGCGCGGGAGCCCCGCTAAAATCTAATCAATATATATATATATATATATATATAGTAGTATATGTTGGTGCTGTTTATATTGAACCCTGATTGGTTTGACATAAATGGTATTCGTGTTGTTGGATAAAAATAATATAACATATATTGAGGGGTTTGCTCTCCTCTCATTTATACAACAACTTGTTGAAATCTTTTATTAGTTCGTAATGCTGCTTTTCATCTTGTGTAATCAATAGGAGGTTGGGTCCTTTAGGATCCTCAGTTTGTATAATGAGCTGCGGATTATAAGGGGTCGTGGAATGCTACCCCCTAAATTTTATAATGCCCATAAGCATAACTGTTGATACCATCATTATGTATCCATCTCTTATCATCAAAGCAGCTGAGCGATATTGTATTTAATTTATAGCTACCTATTTGATGTTTGACAGATCTGATGGTACTCATTATGTGGAACATTTTGTTGTTATTGGGGAAAGTATTTTTGTCATCAGAATGTTTTATTGATTTTTTGATCAAATATTTTTTGATACCTTTAGCAGTTTTACCACTTTTCATTATCTTTGACATATGAATACATCTTAGATCTGAGGCTCACGAATTCTGTCATGGGTATAACACCACATTCATCTTTCATAAGCCCTATCTGCTTTTCGTGGGATGCATCAAAATATTGGCTGTCTTCGGGATAATCGGCATTGTCAAGCAATTCCTTATCCTTCCAGAAATCCTCATATACATCATCAGCTTGGATCTTATGGCACAGACTATTAGTATCAGTTAACAACAGCTGGGCATTATTACCATATTTTTTTCTTGTGTAATTATAATGAAAATCATACATGAGTACTTTGCTGAAATCAAGAATACACATTCCAATATAAGCAGGCCTATCAAGTGTTAGCACCTCTTTTATTCTGTGTAGTGCTACCAGATCTTTGGTAATATTTTGCTCCTGAAATAACTAGTCCAGAATTATTGTGGGGAAAAGGGGTAGGTCGCTTATCTCTGCATATTGGTGTAACAATCCGAAATCTACTAGGGAAGAGGTGATAATCCTCTCTAGGGGGTGATAATTCCCCAGGATAGTTAGAGGTGATAATCCTCTCTAGTGGGTGATAATCACCCAAGCTGAGGATTTAACCGGGAACAGCAACAATTTTGTTTGGAGCCTAAGACCTCCTTCACAGCAGATGAGGAGACAGAAGAGGAGATATGCAATAACAAAGAACAAAACAAAGGATCAGTCTGTATATTAAGCACAATCAATACACTAACAGTTATGCATAGCCGTGTACACAAACTGGATGCAGCTGGTGTATCTATCAAGTGGGCCGGATACTGAGATGTGATAACCCAATCCATATTGAGAAACATTTTAACATCCTTATCGATAAATCAGAATGCATATGCTAATGATTGTTGTTTGTAAGGTATTAAAAATAACCGCATTATTTATGGTTTCTTCCCAGTTATTGAGACAGTGACAACAGTACTTGGCGTAAGGCAAGGAGTTGGGAACGAACTTTATGCAACATCATACATACTCTTTAGGGCTGCAATCACACCCAGAAAACTGTCTTCACTCCTTTCCAGGGTTAACAATCGCCTGGAAAAGGTCCTTGGTAGATTTAGAGGAGTTGCAATCCTCCACTCTACCCCCCTTTTAAGATAGCATTTCCCTGGAAGAGGCCCTTAGTCCTTTGGCAGTTTTAGATCAAAGGAACAGAGCAAATAACAAGGCTCAGATTGTAATTTGATTACAAGTAACATCTAACAGTTATGCACTGAAAAAATAGATAATGCCTGGAAGCAAGATGGTGCACTGATCAAATGAGCATGCGAATCCAAATGTGAGAATCCTTTAAAAATTACATCATTCCTTACCTTAAAGACACCCTCAAAACAAATAATTCACTCACTTTATACCTCTATCTTTAGCATGATATTGAGTTGGGGAAATACAATGCACACCCAATCAGAAGTCCAGACTGCACAACGTAAATGCTTACATTGCATATTTTAAGCCACAATAGAGAACGAAGTGCACCCTACTATAAACCTCAAGATATACTCGACATAGACAACTTGTTAAAACGTAAGATCTCACGAATCTCACACAATCAACCATAATCCCTGAAGTGTTGTAAAGGTACCTCATAAAGGTGTCTGATGTTAACTCATATGATACCAGATATGCTAGAAATCCATGGAAATATTTTACTAGATGTGACTAAACACTTGAAACTGAAATTCAATCCATTATTTGAAAAACCTCGAAGACCTAATCTTCACAGATTTGATTTGTGTTTTGTGGCGCCAAGTCTTGGAGGCACAATATAATAACAATATTAAGGTAACTCGGACTCTCGATAAACCAGAAAATACCGCACCTGAATCATGGGAGAACAACTCTGATCCCAAAGGGACACACTGGCCTAAGATGAT